TGGCTATCAATAATTCTGGTTCTGATTCAGATTCTAACTCTTCTGATAATAATTCTGATTCTGGGTCTGATTCCGATTACACCTCCTCTGAAACTGAGAGTATGAATGTTAACATTACTAGAGTAAAAAAAAAAAGTAAATCAGAAGAGTAGTTCGAGCAAATCATTATCTAAGAAGGTATCCAAATCTCACAAGATCGATAAGGAATCTAAGTCTTGCAAGAGAGGTGGGAGTAAGCAAACAGTTTTAGAACAAACTATTCGTAAAATTATCCAAAGTGAACTTAAAAATATTTTACCTTCATTATTACAGGAGCTCAATTTTAATAGTGAAAAATCATACCATATTCAAGATAATAATTATCGAGAACCAGCTCCAGAGATATCCAATTCAGATAAAGATAAGACTTTGGATGACTCTATAGAAATTGATTTTGTTTGTCAGAAAGAACCTGATACAGGTATTGCGACTATACTATGCAAAATTAAGTATTTAAAAATTCTAGCAATGGTACTCGATAGTGGGGCTGAAACTGAGATCATAACAGAAGATATTGTTAAGCGTATAAATGGAAAAATTGATAAATCTGTGAAGTATGATCTTAGTGGTATTGCTACCGTTTCAATTGAGTCTATTGGCATTGTTTGTAATTTACCAATAACACTAACTCCTGATTGTACTATATATGAGGATTTTGTAGTCATGAAACATTCCAAGCCAATGTTAATATTTTCAAACTGACTTCTTAAGAAATATGAATGTGTTATTGATTAGAATAATAATAAAATGAAGATTCATTACAATAAAAAGGATCACATTTTTCCTGTAACTATTCATAAGGTCAAGAATAAACTTGAGGTAAATTGCACAAATGTAGTTCAAAATAGTAAGCCTTTGATATCAGATCAAATTTCTTAGAAGATAGATAGGGATGAGGATAACAGTATACCATTTGATGAGTGGTGTGCTTCTGCGGATTTTAGTATAGATTTTGTCAATTTAACTTTAGCAAAGCAAGTACCAAAAGTGCTAAAAAAAAATGCATGAGTTATGAGGAGTTAGAAAAATCGCTATATACTACTCTCAAGTTTAAAGCTGAAATAAATGATCTTTGTAAAAAGTTGCAAATACGTTATGAAAAGCTACTTGAACATATTTCTACCAGAGATAATATTATAGATTAAGTAGTAGCTAATAGGCGAGTCATATTTGCTTTATTTTTCTTATCTCTTCTGGCTTCTTTTTCATATAATGCACCCAGATCCTCACTACTTATTTTTTCTGTAGAGTTATTAGTAGGTATTGAATCAGATATGTGAGAGCAGAGCTCATTATT